ATAATGGCACGGACAGCTTCCTCCTTGGCTTCAGCAATCGCAATCGCATCCTCACCGGTGAAAGTTGCCAAATACTTTGTCAGGAATTTAAAGCCATCCTTAGCTGAGCTGCAACAAAAAATGAAGCATGGCCAGAAATGAACGAAACTATCACACTTCTCCAGATGGTTAAGTGACATATATCAGACAGCAACACTGTACCTTTTACTGTCTTTGAGCGCATTAGAGATGGCAAGATAGAGCTCTCTCCTATCCTTGACATCAAGATTCCATTCTTTCAAGAAACCATCTATCTTCTTGAGTGATGGTATTATGTGATCAGCAACCTTCCCATTCAATGCTAAAGTCAAGGCCTTCATATAGACAGAGAACCGTGCATATGGATCCTCCAGAAGATTGTACAGATTGAACAAGCTGAAAAGTAGTCTTTCATGAGATACTAACAACAAAAAGTATGTGCTATCAAATCAACATGACACCTTGACATACATCTTTAAGCGCAGTGTAGGCTTCTCAATTGGCTGTTGAACAATCTTTGCTGATATCATCTTCGCCATCTCAAGAGCTTCACTCGGGTTTTGAGACTTCGTGACAAGGTTGCAAATAACAGTGAAGATGCATTCAAGGTCTGGAACAAGGACGACGGAAAAATATACTTCGTCATTGAAATAAGCAAATGGGGCAGCTATTGCTAAGTATTCTGATATAAATGATTGCTTCTTCTTTTACAAAACCATTTTGAACCAACACACTTGCACACCCTCTAATATGACCGCTACCTATATAAACCACAAAATCACGCAACCATTTCACTTTTAAGGGCACCCAGAGAGGTCGAATGATAGGACAGGAAAAAACAAGAACTGATAGGTAAGTCAATGAGGCCCCGTCATCTAGTGACCACAGAACTCCCCACCTCATATATATAACTACCGGGCAACTTACAAAGAATTCGTAGTTGCACTAAGTTATCAACACAACAATTCAAGCCGAATCTTGCAGGCTTAAAATTGAGTACTCTGCTAGCAGAATATTGTACTAAGTTATCAACACAACAATTCCAGCACAATTCATAGATGTCATCACGATCCATACAATTACAAAGTCAGATAGAATGAACAGTAATTTCATCCACACACACTAGACCAGGCGTCTGCTAATTAACCTCCTTTAGTACCATCCCAATAATTGCAAATTCGAATCACAGCTGATGTAGACTTCGATAACACAACATAGAAGAAGAAAGTCGCACCTTTCTCTGACACCTTGGCATTGGAGAATAACAAGTCAGCTGAAGTTAGCATCAGGGAAGCCAAGTCCAACCATCTTCCTACCACCATGCATTCCTGGGCCTCCATACAAAGCCTGGTAACTTGTGGTTCCGCAACCTGTAAAGAAAGGTATAATTGATCAAGTAACTCCCTTTCCTCGCTGAAAAATACAGCTAATCGTACCCAATATAAAAAATGTACAGGACTCTACGAATGGATTATTCCCACTTCAAATTTTTTGCAGGTTTCCAATGTTACCTAAGAATGGATGAAATTCACGAAGCAAGGCAGGGTTTATAGTTCACGACATAAGCCAGCAACCATCCGAACATATCAGCCGGCATACGCAACATTATAGACTACTAAGAACAGCAGAAAATTGAAATCACGTATTGGATTATGGATTCAGGAGGAGACCAGACACCAGCCAATCAAATTTCCCAAACAAAGAATCGAAGGACGCCCATGGATACAAGCTACAATAAAAAGCGTTTGCGATTACGCATGTATATACAAACAGCTGTATAGATGTGAATGTACCTCGGGACCAGCATCGGCCCAGGCAAGGTCGGAGGTGAAGCGGACAACTGCGAGTGCGGGATCTTCTTCAGAGGTTGGGACGATGGTAGCCATTGCCGGAGGATGGGAATATCTGCAGCGCCGGCACCGTAGACGTTTGTGCGGGCGGTGCAGAGAACGGAGAAGAGGGAAAGCGAAGAGCGGGGATGAACCAAAAACCCTAGCTAGTATCAGTAAGCAGACGAGAAGCTGCGGCTAGGCAACCAATAAGCATTGAGGGCAGTTACGTCTTTGACCCCAGCCACGCTAAGCCTTTTTTTTTTTTCCAAGTCAGAGTATTATTCAAAAGTCACAAATCGGAAGACAAAAAAACGCGGGAGTCGACCAATAGTCGAACTCCCGATGAGAGGGCCTTTTGTGCCACATGATGGGCAGCCTTATGTGTGGGAGTGCGAATGTTTCAGATCAGGAATTGCATTCGATCAGTTCTTTTCTAGGAGTTGCGATTATGTCTCCTGATGACAGGTACTTGGGACTCCCGGCCCAGCTACGTCGGTCTAAATCATTGACCTTTCAGTTTATTGAAGAGGATTTGGCTGCACGGATTCGAAGTTGGAAGACCAAGGCATTATCATTAGCGGCAAAGGAAGTGGTTATCAAGTCGGTTGGGGCTGCGGGGCCTATCTATGCTATGTCGGCTTTCAGACTTCCACAAGAAACATGTCGAAGGTGCAACAGTCAGTTGTCCAAGTTTTGGTGGGCTAGTCAGGACAAGGTGACTGGCATGCATTGGGTCTCTTGGTCGGCGCTCTGTCAGAGTAAGTTTGTGGGAGGTCTTGGATTTCGGGATTTTAATCGATTTAATGTTGCTTTGTTAGCTAAGCAGGCTTGGCGTATTCTTTGCAACCCCTCTGGCACTCTTGCCCGGATTTATCAAGCACGATATCATCCCCAACGGCCATTCTTAGAGGCGACGGTAGGCTCCCGTCCCTCATGGGCATGGCAAGGCATCCTGACAGGAAGAGATCTTCTCAGCCGGGGGTTAAGATGGCAGGTGGGAAACGGGTCTCGGATTCATACCTTAACGGATAATTGGCTTCCTTCTTCCCCTCCCTCTACCCCGGTGTTACGACCAGGGTGGCTCGTGGATTGTGGCAACTGGCGGACCTGGACGAATTGAGAAATACTCTTGGTGGATTGAATCCTGACGAGGCCTGGCTTCATCTCTTCTTTTCTATGAATTTGTCGAAAATTGAGATAGCTAATGTTGTTTTCCTTCTCTGGCGGATTTGGAAGGGCCGGTGTTGGGCAGTTCATGACGGCATTCAATATCTTCCAGTGGCTCTGTTTCGGCAGTTTCAAGGGCAAGTCGAGGAATGGAGGACCTTAGGGCCAAACTCTTCAACGCGACCATCCGGTGATCCTGCTTCTACAGCAACAGGGCCCTCACGTGTGCCCAGAGGCACTCATACGACTCCTGGTTCCTCCTCTACTATCAATGTCTGGTTTGATGGTGCTACCAAGAGTGGCCAAGGAGGTGGTATAGGATTTGTCGGCTTTCATACGACAGGTACTGTTCTGTTTGCCTTTGGGAAATTTTATGATGGGATTCAGGACCCTTTCCTCATGGAATGTTTAGCTCTACGGGATGCTGTGCAGTGGTGTCTAACTCATTCCTTTCTTGCTGTTTGTTTTCATGGGGACTCTCAACTCTTGATCCGTCGGATGATTGGAGGGGATGTACATCATGTTCGGGGGTGGCGCTATATTGGAGGACATCCGGAGCTTGACATCTTCATTTCACAGTGTTTCCTTCTGCATAGAGCACGCTAAGCCCTTTTGTTTGTACAAAATGTCAAAATTACAAATAACTATTTCGGCAAACAGCGTCGTATAACGGTATAAAGTGAATACTGTTTTTCCTAATGGTTCAATTTTTTTGTTTGGCATGTCCAGCTCATGGAATGATGATAGTATTGTGTGTTTGTATTAGTTGAATACAAAATACAAATACATCATCAGATCTACTTTTATTTGTCACATATAATTTGGATACTAATGTAAATATTTGGACCGCCGATCTTTTATGTGATATTATCTAGTTGTTTTTATGAAATACAGTATTGTGGATAATCGTGTTGTGCTAATATAATTAATATAAATTCTTAACTTTGAATGTTGGATACGTAGTGTCATATTAGATGAACATCTCAATTTTTTTCTATGGACATTTGAAACTAGAATGAACCAATAATAAGTATGTTAGTGTGTGATAAATTGTGACATGCGTTCAATTTTGATACTTGACGCAAAGAGATCCACACATATACGTTACGGATAGTAATGGCAATGGGGCGGGTACCTCAATTCCCATGCCCCGCCCCACGCTACAACGGGTTGGGGCGGGTAAAACCCGCGCGGGTACGGGGCGGGGCAGGTCGACCCACTCTTACATGTTGTTAAAAAAAAATACAAGTAAATTTTACTTTTTACAATTAAACGTAGGGAAAAACACTTTAAAATGAAAATATTGATAATAGAATGCATAATTGAGCCTAACAAGTTGAAAGATCGACTCTAACTAGTTGAAGAAAAGTCAAAATAGGAGAAATATATATAGATATTGTAAGAAATTGAGATAAAAATGAGTCTAGAACGGGGCGGGGCGAGGTAGGGCGGGTCGGAAGTAGATACCCATGCCCAACCCCACGCTACTGCGGGTCGGGTAATACCCGCCCCATCGCAGGTCAGGTCGGGTAATACCCGCGGGGCGGGTTGAAATTGCCATCACTAGTTACGGAACAATTAATCAAAGTTGTCAATTTTTTAATATCATTATAGGGGGCGAGAGTGGATGATGTACAACTTGATAAAACATATAATCTATAACATTAGAATTCATTTATTTAATGCGATGAATAATAACCCTTAGAGCCGTTCTGAGGAGATGTCATACAAAAGTGCACTAAATGATCCATGATCGAGCGATGCATTTCCTAACTAAGTAGACCACCATGCAAAAGTTAGATAAAATGGAAAAAGATAAATGAATGAGATAGAACGACAGAAACCAATGTTTGACATTCACAATTGTTTTTCGTCCTAAGCCATTAAATTTCATACTTTATATCAACTTATTGGTGACATAAAGTATACAATCAAAATACAATAAGCACGTCCACCAAATCATTTTGTTTGGACAAGAATACATCATTTTTTGTTAGGATCGCCGAATAGGTAGCCTAATGAGGACCCTCCTCCTGGAGCAGCATGAACCTTGGTCGTCGGTCGGTCCTATATAACGAATAAGGCAACACCCCCAACAACGTTAAAAACAATAATATATGGGGAAAAAATCCCAGAATACGCTAGTTATTAAAAAAAATTCCCTAAATACAGTACTTATAAAACTAATTCCCAAAATACAGCAGTTTCAACATCACTGTCTTTGTCTAAGACAGTGATGTTGATCACCGCTTTTGTCCAAAGCAGTGAAGCAGCGGGGTACGCATCACCGCCTTGGACAAAAGCGGGGAATGCATCATCGCTGTGGTCAAAAGCGGTGATACGTTCCCCGCTTTGGACATCAACAGTGAAGCCATCACCGCTGTTGTCCACAGCAGTGATTGCCCCCACGTTTTACACAGCCCTGGTAGGTGGACAGGTAGGTAACAGCTACCTAGCCATCACCGCTGTTGACTAAGGCGATGATGGTTCACCGCCTTTGTCCAAAGCGGTGATTGCCTCCAATTTTTCCTATAAAAAGCCACGCCCCCTCTTCCCTCCTGCTGCCAAACACTCCTGCTGCCAAACAGAAAATTAGTACCAAAATTATCGTTTTCGCAGCTGGTTCCTCCGTAGTTTACTGCTCAAGAAACTCGTCGGGATTCGGTATGTTAGAATTATGTATTGTTTACATTTTGATTATGTGCTAGAATTAGGTATGTTAGAATTATATATTTAGATTAATGATATATGTTAGTTAGTTAGTACTGAATTTAGATTAATTTGTTTAGTTATCATGATAGATCGGGATTGAGTATGTTATAAGTATGTATTTTTTACATGTTGATGTGTTAGTAATTATACTGTTTGTATTTAGTGAATTGCGGTTATTGGAAAATATGTTATGATATTATTTAGTTTAATTATGATATGATAGATGTTAGTTAGCTAGTTATGAATTTAGATGAATTTGTTTAGTTTTCTCATAATAGATAAATTAGTTGCATTTTATTATCGCTTTGGATGATATTGTTTTTGTATCCATAATGTACTAATTATATACTATACTTAATTATTATAAATTGCAGACATGGGTAAATTTAAGAAGTTTCGGCTTATTATTTATTGGAATGGTCGGGTGACAAACTCGAACATTGGGATCGACTATGAAGATGGCGAATCCAGTTCGCTTACAATTGAGTCGAGATTCTCGTGGCAAGAACTCCATGACAGGTGTGCAGAAAGGACTTGTACGGGCGGGCAAATGAGAGTTCGTCAAATTACTTACCGGTATCCCAACATGAGTGCTGACGGAGTCATGTACGAAAGAGTTGACATAAATGACGATGACGACGCGAACATGATGACACAGTTCATATCTGAGAACGGGGTGCGGCTTGCAGAGGTGTATGTCGAGACCGAGCCGGTCAGTGAAACTCATTCTCACCAGTATTCTTATGATGATGGTTTTGCAGGAGGGTATGGCTGGGGTGGTAGTTCAAGTAACTACGGAGCAGGTTCTTCTGCCGGAGGGTATGGTTGGGGAGGTACTTCAAGCAACTACGGAGGAGGTAGTTCTGAAGGAGCTGTTGGGTGGGAAGAATACCTGCCACATGGTGGTGAGACTGCCGTCGATATCGTTCAGCCCGACGGTGATCAATGGCCTGCTTGGGGTCCAGAGTGGGGTGACATTGAAAACACCCTTCGAACTGGGCGTACTTCGCATGACCAAGAAGGCGATGCTGGTTATGCTGCTAAAGATGACCCTCCTTCGCCGAGCTATCCATTCGCCTCCAGTGACGATGAAAGTGAGGAAGATTTGAGATCAGTCAGTGAGGAGGAAGATGCGGACGATAACGACGATATCGATGACAGTGAGGTGGCGTTCCGCCAGGCACCAACGCCTTACTACACAGAGGTTCCTGATCAATTTTTATATGGTCAGAACGATGCCCCTGACTATCGGCCCATGCCTGTGTATAATCCGACTGCTAATTTGGAAGTGGGTATGGCGTTCACTTCAAAAGCCGATGTGCAAGACGCTTTTAGCGAAGAAGCCATGCGGCGTAATTTCGAATGGAAGGTAAAATATTCTGACAAGGGACAACTGCATGTCATTTGTAAGAATGCTGGAGAGGGTTGTATGTGGCAACTTCGTGCTGCATATATGAAGAGAAAGGGGGTCTGGGTCATGCGGACAGCAGAGAACAACCACAGTTGCTCCTCAACCATACTTTCACAGGATCACCGGCAACTGAAAGCAAAAAAAGTGGCAAGAACCATTAAGCACCTTATCGAGGCACAACCAGATATCAAGATAAAAGCTATCATGGCGGAGGTGAAGGATCGACACTCCTACACCATAAGGTATAAGAAGGCGTGGCATGGGAAGCAGAAGGCCATGGCTGATGTCTACGGTGATTGGGATGACTCGTATGCTTTACTCCCCAGACTAATGTCCGCAATGGAGGAGTCCAACCCTGGGACGGTTTCCGTGCCTTGGTACAACAACGTAGAAACTGAAGATCAAGTTCGAGTACAGAACGAGTTGATGTTTCATCGTCTGTTCTGGACATTCAAGCCATGCATTGACGGGTTTCCCTTCTGCATGCCAGTGATTCAGGTATATTACGGACTCAAAATATTGTACTACTTCATTACTTTACTAATTTCAATTTTTACTAACTCAGTATTCATTTTAACAGGTTGATGGAACTTTCCTTACTGGGAAGTATAAAGGAACTCTTCTTATTGCCACTGGGGTTGATGGAAATTTAAGTATTTTTCCCTTAGCATTTGCATTAGTTGAAGGGGAGAACAACCTAAGTTGGGCATGGTTCTTTGACCAGCTACACGCCCACGTCACACAAAGAATGGGTATTACAATTATATCGGATCGACATGCCGGGATTAAACACGCCGTCCGTGGTTTCCCGGACGAATGGGGATGGACATGGCGTTGGTGTATTCGTCACTTCCTAGCCAATTTCCAACACAAATTTGGCAAGAAGAAAGACATCAGAGATCAATTATGGAGTGCAGGTAATAATGTAATTCAGTGCTTGTTCAAGGTTTATTGTTCAAATGACAATTCTTATGGATTAATTATTAATTCTCCGGTCTTGTAGCGGTTGCACATCAACCAAAAAAGTACGAGCAGAAGATGAAGACGATCCGTCAAATACACCGGGCGGGAGCAGTATGGGCAGAAGGTCAAGATCTGCACATGTGGACATTTCACATGGACAACGGGGCTAGATTCGGAATTGCAACTACCAACCATGGGGAGAGCATAAATGGAGTCTACAAGGGCATTAGGGCAATGCCTGTATCTGTCCTAGTGGAGATGACATACTGGAAGGTAAACGAGTGGTTTGTGAAGAGACGGGATGCTGCTATAGGGAGGGAGCGTGCTGGTCATTCAATAGCTAAGCATATATTTGACGGCATGCAGAAGATCGAAGAGAAATCAAGTAAGCACAGAGTTGTTCTGTTCAACCGCAATGAGGGTATTTTTGCTGTGCAAACAGGTATCTGGGGTGGAGGAAGACGTGGGCATAATCGTCAATCCGTAACTCTACACGTAGAAACTCGCACCGGAGAGTGTACATGCCAAAAGTATCAAAACAGAAGAGTACCTTGTTCACATGCAATGGCAGTAGCTAAGTCGATAACCCTCAGCGCTTACAGTTTGGTTAGTCCTTACTACACGGAACAGGCGATCAGGAACTCCTACTCGTCAAGTTTTAGCCCCCTGCCGGATGAAGCTTATTGGCCTGTAGACAATGGGAAGTTGATTATCCCACCGTTACACTTAAAGCGCACCAAAGGTCGTCCTAGGACCGAAAGGATTCACAATGAAATGGACCAATCACAACGTGCCCGACGGGGTCCAAAGCGTTGCTCAAAGTGCAGACAACCGGGTCATGACAAGAGGCGTTGCCCAGGTCCACCTCTAGAGCAAGATTCGGCGCCAATTCCGAACCTACCTTGATGTTGTTGTTGTTCACTTCCTTGTTTTAATCTTGTTGAGTAGTTTTCGTTGTTGTGATGTTTAATTTGGACTTCTTGTTTTAATCTTGTTGAGTGATTGTAATAAAGGGCGTTTGTTGTTCATTTTGGTACAACATGGGGGTAAAAACCAACAAAATTTAGCCGACAGATAGTTAATGGAAAACAACACAATCCGAAACCAAATTTAGAAACATAGATAGTTCATGGAAAACAACACAAGCCCCAAACCAAATTTAGACGACATGGATAGTTCATGGAAAACAAAAAAAGATGGAACTAAATTAGAACGACATAGATAGTTCACTGGTTGTCTTCATTTCCCTCCACTTCCCCTTCTCTTCCTCTTCCTCTTCCTCCACGACCTCCTCGGCCCCTTCTTCCGCCCTCTCTACCTCCTCCTCCTTCTTCACGAGCCCGCTGGACAACTGCGCGCGGATTCCTCTTAACCCGACCACCCACCGGAGTGTAGACAGGTGGTGGGGGTGGAGGTTGCTGAGTTGGACCAGAAGTGTGGTAGAAAGTCGATGATGTATGTTGCTGTTGCGGGGTCTGATACTGAGTAGTTTGTTGCTGATGGTGGAACTGAGGGGTGGCTTGGGTGAACATGTCATGCTCCATCGTCGGGGCATAGCTTGACGACCCTCCGGTTCCCTCAGTACTAGTAGCCCACTCACAATGTGGCCATGGTTGAGGAAGTTGAGTTTGCTGAGACGGACGAAGCTCATCAATGTGTTCTCTCACCCTTCTTCTGCTCCTCCGTGGGGGCTCTTCTGGGGGCACAATCCTCTCATCAGCACGGAATGAAGGTCGGGCCGGAGCAGGCACTGGAGGGTATAATATGACATCCCTCCTTTGCTCTCTGGTACAACAGAGCAAGTTGTTGAAAAGCCTGCGCAAAAAAGATGTCTTCCGCTCATCCATGGTGGGTGCACTCTCGACGGTGTGCTTCGCATGCTCCAAACCGTCAACCTAATAAATTGTTTTACAAAATTAACTAATAGTAAATCTAATAATGATTTCTATCATCTAATATAGGCATGTAATCATACTACAAAAATTAACTAAAATTAACTCTAATAATGTTAATTAACATTCTAGCAAATATAGGCATGTAATTATACTACAAAAATTAACTAACATTAAATCTAATAATGTTAATTAACATTCTAGCAAATATAGGCATGTAATTATACTACAAAAATTAACTAAAATAGGCCAAAATGGAATTCACTTACCACTGCGCCCCAAACAGCACCTTGCTTTGACACCCATCTTAGCGTGAAGTGCCGATACCACCGCATGTAGCCATCGTGGTACCCCATTGGCCTTGTCTCCGGCGCCCCTTGGACCACCCACTGATTTCTATTCTCCCATATGTTGATGTAGAATTCATGTTTGCGGGTCCAATCCTTTTTGTTGTAGCGTAGGTCAATGGCGTGGAGCTCCCTGAACCCTTGAGGTGGGGATGCTGGAATTGGTTGCTCCAATCGATATTGCCTCAAAGATCGATCGGGCAGGTGCCACTCCACCATGTGCCAGCAGATTAAGGGCACCTTGCACAACCATGTCTCTTGATCCTCGGGATGTCTAAGACGATGCAACTCAACCACTTCATTTGGATATGGATCCCATACCGCCTACAATCATTACAATTCACGTAATTAGTAAAAATTATATCCACTCCACCTAATAAATTTAAAATCATGACATTCAATATTTTTACCTGGTTCCACCAAGGCTTATCAAATTCAGCACGATAAAACAGTAAAGAGTGCTCGGCCTGGTGGTCGTTAGTATTTGCTCCGATCCACCTAATTAAGCAAAAGTACATATATAAGCAATTTTTAAATTAGCTAAATACGATTTGGTTAGAATAAATCCAAATTCACTTACTTGGAAGATATCTAAATTCACTAAAATACTAGAATTGCAGACCTAAAATGTCTCTAAATTCGCTTAGTTGGAAGATAGCTAAGTTCACTAAAATACTATAATTGCATACTTAAAATTGCATACTAAGTTCACTAAGTTCACTAAAATCTAAATTCACCTAACTAGCTACCATTGCATATCTAAAATAAATTCAACTTAAATTGAACTTACTTGAAACCATATGGGGGATTTGCTACAAATCGTAGCTCATCATCTGGCAACCAGAATTCCCGAGGGTCTTGAGGTGCGAGAAACGGAAGATGCTCCCATGCCCAGAGTTGAAGTATGAACATCGCACCACCAGCTTGTTTCGCTCCCAACCTCGAGCAAGTACACAACTCTCGGTAGATTCCAGCCAAGACGGCCGACCCCCAACTTTTTCTCCCGATCTCGTCCCAGTCACCGAGGAGCATAGGGAACCACATGCCTTGTATCCACTTATTTGACTTGTCGGGGAACAGAAACCCACCAACCAAGGCAATTAGGTATACACGTGCATACCGCTCCACCTGATCTTCAGGAGTATCCAGGCCTATATTAACCTCCAATTGGATGTGGTCAACAAGCCACGGGATCGATACTTGCCCCGCATTCAGTGGTGGATGCCCAACCCCTTCGACGGGCGTGGTGGTCGGCATGTTGAACCCCAGACGTTCCTGAATCAATGGCCCCCAACCATCTTCTGGTTTTCTCGAGCTGTCGATGATGGCATCTCCGGTGATCGGGAGCCCGGTGAGGATGGCAACATCTTTGAGGGTGATCGTCATTTCACCCTCGGGAAAGTGGAAGGTATGCAGCTCAGGGCGCCATCGCTCTGTCATTGCCGTCAGCAGATCGTTGTCAATATCTAGCCTCATAAAGTGCCTCAAATTGTGCAATCCCGCCCTCTCTAGATAGGGATGCAGTCGAGGATGCCAACGGGGCAATCGACATGTACCTCGATGACTGATGGGAATAAGTGATTCCTACAAAACAAAAAACACAATATTGTCAGTCAATAGAAAGCAAAATAAAAACTTAGAAAGCAAAATAAAAACTTTAAAACTATTGAAATAATTGTAGTGTATCTACCGGATTATTGTTCCAAATTGAACGAGAGCGATGTTGATCTTGCCCGGTTAAATACCTTCGATCCCTTGGGCCAGGATCGATATACAATCTAGGGTCGTATATCTCAGCACCCATCTATAAAAAAATATGAAATCAAATCAATTTAAATTTTAGCACCCATGTAAAAAAAAATGCACAAAAGAATTAAATAAATTTACGTACTCTCAAAGCCTCTTCGTCCATTTTTTGCCGAAAAGCTAGCGAGAGTATCGACAAAACAACAAAACAAAAACTCTAGTAATTCTTTCTGATGCGGAAGATCGGACTTAGCCGCAACCACAGAGCATACTTAGAACGAAACTAGAGTGAAAAATGGAGGGAGAAAGAAGTATGAAGTGGTGGTGTGGTTTGGAATGAGAGGGGGGATGGGTAATTTATAGGGTTTGGGGCTGGGAAAAAACCTGGCCAGTTATCACCGCCCCAAACAAACACAGCGCCATCACCGCCTTTGTCGGACGCGGTGATGTGCAGGGATCGCTGACGTGGCCTCTCCTGATGCGTCGGATTGTGGAGAAAAACCACAATCCGCGCATAACTGCATCCGACGGCAGCGGTGAAGGCGCGGGTGGGGGGCGGATCGCTGACGTGGAAAGCGGGGCTATCACCGCTTTGGTCTTCAGCGGTGAAGTGCCCGCGCGCGTCCACGTCAGCGATCCGCGCCCCTTCACCGCTGTTGGATCCAACGGTGAAGGCTTCACTGCCTGCCACATCAACGGTGATGCCATCACTGTCGTCCTTGACAGCGATGATGGCATCACTGCTTTGGTTTAAAGCGGTGATAACATCACTGCTTTAGTCTAAAGCGGTGATGTATCATCGTTTTAGACCAAAACGGTGATCAACATCACTGTCTTAGACAAAGACAGTGATGTTGAAACTGCTGTATTTTGGGAATTAGTTTTATAAGTACTGTATTTTGGTAATTTTTTTTAATAATTGGTATATTCTGGGATTTTTTCCAATATATGGTAACCAAAGAGATTAATCAATCAAGTTTTTATAATATGGTTACATACCGTAATGAAGTTACCACAATTTTGACCTTCCGACCTATAGTAGTTGTTTTTCAGGTGACCTGGTTGGGCCGAAGGTGCTTCTTCGACGTCCCACTTGATTGGGCTGCTACTGGATTCTTTCCGACGAGCTACTGGGCTTCTTGTAGTCTCTGAACCAGGTTGGGCCGGAGGTGCTTCTTGGACGTCCCACTTGATTGGGCTGCTACTGTTTTCTTTTCGACGAGCCACTGGACTACCGGGGCTAGAGGAAGAGTTGTTGCTCCGGCCAGCTCCCTCCGACTCGGAACCAAACAAGTATCCCAAAGAACTCCGGCCGCCGCCATAGCTCACTCCACGGCCCATGCTTTTTCCTTCTGATCAATTTTGTGTTATGGAATTAGTCACATTGCGATTATTATATATGTAAACTGCATTGCTTGGCATAATTAGCATAATCGCTTGTGTAATCAATCATCATCAAGTTCAATCCTAATAGTTGTCTTATGTGTGGTTTATCACCTGAAACGTAATCACACCCGGATTAACATGATAGATATTTTTTTTAATTACATCATGATGTTGATTATACTTGAATTTCGATGTCACGATCCCACCAAAGCAAAATTTAATGTGTGTTGGTATGCTACAATTCACGGATTAATCTTGTTTCGGACATGTATGCTTGTTTATAAAACATCAATATAATTATTTTATATTTCCCATATATACTTTCTCTTAGCACGCTAATTAAGTTAAATTCTTTCTTCTCTAAAAATATAAATATCTCTCTCGAATTTTGATTAACCTCAAACAAAAATACTGAACATATAATGCACGAAATACTAAAGCAAAACTTCTTGCAACAATAAATTATGAGCTCCTTTTTGGAAGTTGGATAATAGATCAAATCCAATAAATCTTCCAACCACGAGAAATGAAGTTCATGTGTTCACAGGAAAAAAAAAATTTATTATGAGATACAATCAAATATAGGGGAACACAATTTTCTTATGACAAAAAGGTGAAAAACACATAGAGATTTTTCAAAGAACATGAGATTTCAAATATTTTAGATATAAACAAATGATTGTTTTAAACAATTGTTAGCATGTACCTTTTTTTCCTTTTGTTGGGTTTCCAATATTCCCCCAAGAATGGGAGAAAAGATGAGGAAAGGGCAAAAAGCTAGCCTTCTTGGATTTACTAGTTTATACAAAGCACTAAATGAGCATTGGCAACAAATAGCCAGCCAATTAAGTCTCCATTTTAATTAAGATTTGAACAAGTCAAAGAGATTGAATGGTTGGCTGACCTTTAAAGTTGAAGTACAATTGATAACATTTATGTATAACTTCATATTTTTATATGATAATTAAATTAAATTATATTAAAATATTTGTAGTCTAGCACATAATATTATTTGTTCTACTTATACTCTTATATCTCTAATGCCTTTTTGTTCAACGTTCGCCATCTATTAGATTCATCTATGATGAATATCTCTCTTCCCAAAAGTCGAATTCGAATACAGCTTCTAGAGACAAGCTTGTGGAGCTACTTCATCTAGCCATTGTCGCTCTGCTGTTGCATTTGCACATATGAGCATCGTTTGGGAACAATATTTTGTAAGTTGTTGAAATACTTGATAGTCCTTGCAGAACTTCCCAGCACGGTTAGTTGTTCCTCAATAACTTTACATTCCGGCTGAACTCATATTCCCATGCTACTTTAGCTTTATTTATTAACAAATAACAATTCTCTCCGTGGATTAGAATACTAAGTGACCCTTCTCTTGTGTTGCCGGAGAAGTTAGGTGAGGAATAAAAACATCTGAATCTATTAATAGTCAGGATTTATAGGGCAAGAACGACAGAGGCTAGTGCATTATTATCATGACTTTGTTGCAACTCCTTACTTTTATATATCTGGTGCCAATCAACAATTTGACACAACATTTCTTTTTAGTAACTGAAATCCCATTCTCATTTCTTGATAAGTATGATCCTTAGAAACATTGCAATGCACCCTAGGCTCTTGCCAAGACCATCATGAAATCTCACTTCAAGTAAACTTAACTACTTCCAGATCCGGAATATGTGACCTAGCCTATATGATGTTATCCACATAAACTAATAAGATTACTATTCTACATCGAACCCACACGATAAATATTTGTGTAATTAGAGGATGGAGTTTGAGAAGGCATTCCATAGGAGTGAGCTAATTAACTTAGCAAACCACTATCCACTATATACCGGTCTACTTAAGCATGTAAAGGGACTTTCTTAACATACAAGGTAAGTCATTTGTATTGCCTTCGATATGAAAATCTTGTGGAACTTGTGTTTAAAATTCCTCCATTAGGCCGTCAACCAAAGGTTGTACTGGAGATATCCCGCTGATAAAGTCCATGTTCAACAACCAATTCGGTTATGAGGGTTTTAACTGAAATAATCTTTGTGTAGGACGGTAGGAAGAACGCATATTCAGGTAATCTATCCCATACACTTTGAATGTCTTTACCTATAAACTATAATCATTTTATCCCCCCAACTTTTATATGGGCTTTGCATGAACAAAATCATCCCCTTGGGGATAGTAAGAAGGGGAACCCTTTTGTAACTGCAAAGTCCCGTGAACAATAACAAATGAAGAACAACCAAAGAAACTGGAGATGGGAAAAAAGAAAAGAAAAGAATAGAAAAGGAGGCGTAAGGATGGGAGAAGAAACATGGGGCACCATCAACAACTATACATAATGATATGCACATGAGTAACGATGCCCATGGACCCCCCTTTTCTCTAATTTCTTTCAAGCTTTATTCATCTTCGAAATCTCTACCAATATCTTGTGCAAAGCTTGAGGCTTTGAGAAGAAAGGTGAATGATCCGCACCTTTCAACCGGAACACCTTCTCCGGCAGACTCGAGCTGATCATGGTTTGTTGTAAGGTGATAGGTATGGCATTGTCTTCCGGAGCTTCGATATAGAACCGTCGCACAGTCCCATGCTTGGCATCGGAGAGACGGAGTTTCTCCAGGACTGGAACAAACGGGATCAGCCTCATTGACACGGAGGCTAATGCAATGTCCTGTTGAATAGTAGGCGAAAACAATAGTGTCTCAAAACCATAGCACACTAACAAAGAAGAAAGATTGGGCAGAATCAAGAATGTCATACTAACTAAATTCACTTGTTTCGAAGGTTTAGATGTACCTTGGCAGGACTGTGGTTGAATAACAAGTCCCGCAGCAACGACTTATCCAGATCAATGGCAGATGGAGGATGATCGTTCCCATTTGCATATACAAATATCTGTGCTTTTTGCATCAGATCATTTCCACCTGACTGCAAAAGCTCCCTTTTATTAGTCGCAGAGTAGCGGAAGCCTAACTAGCATACCGTAACTTGAACTTGCATAGACATAGCTTGATGCCTCTAGAAGCAGAGTTTCCTATATGGCATTGCATAAAACATAGCAAAGGAGGGTCTTGAAAGTTCAAACATGGCATACTATCACTGCTATTCTTTTTCTTTTCTGTTCAAGTTACAAATGTTCAAACAAGTTCATCACCTCCTATTCTAAACTCAATAATGTAACTCAGTGATTACCTGCTTGGAGAACATGTCAAGCATACTTTGTCCATCAACTAACATAGCTGCAGCTAGGAAAATAGCCTTTGAAATTTTTTGTGGAAACAACTCCATTGCATATGAGATGCAAGCACCGCCAAAATCGTGCCCTACCAAGATCACCTGCATAGTTCAGAAAAAAATAGTATTATTCCTAGACTATCATCTTCCTCAGTTAAAAAATGTATCATGTAAAGGAAATGAAGATATCAAGATATAGAACCAGGAAAACAATTTCAATGAATAACCACATTGACTCAGACAGTTCATTTGAATGAGAGAAATGTATATAACGGCAATTGGCTTAAGACATGATAAGAAGACAGTAGGAGAAGATACATAACCAATGAGAAAGAAAGAAGAAGCACGAACCTTCTCCTCATCAGCAAGCTTTTCAAGAAAATCAGTAAGTGGCTTCACATACTGAGAGAGACTGGCAATGCCATTAGTATCAAAAGAATGAACTCCAGAACCAGTCAAGTCTACAGCCGTAACTGTGAAACCACTCTCTTCCAGAAGGGCTATGGTTTTGTACCAACACCAAGCACCAAAACCCCCGCCATGTACAAGGACAAAATGTTTTGTCTCAAGATCATCAAGCTTAATATCCTGTTCAAAATTATAACAATTCAGCAGGCGTGAAGTACGAAAATCGAAAGATGCTGACATACGGTATAGCACTAAACACCAACTGCCCATGAAACTTTAATCAGCCACAAAATTAGTGTCCGTGGGGAGAAAATAAAATAAGGTCATGGTGATCAGGCATTGAGCTGTAAACTGAGTTTCTTGGTTGCCCTCTTCACAAGACTTGTGAGGCTTATCTAACTTTCTAGTTAAACCTAGTAGTCCTACTACAAACTGTTGCAGTTGCACATTGATTACGGCCCCAGAAATATTACGAAATAAGGTAAGATCAAAAACTATTTCCAGAATCACGGTAGCTATCTGATGTCTGATCACAGGTGAACAAAGTAGCCAACTTTATAGGATCTTGACCTGTAATGTACAGCTTTTAGGTGTAGAACCTTGAGGAAGGCAGCTATGTGTCCTTAACTCCTTATACTATGCCCATATAAATTTTGCACCTTACCCCAGAAACAAGTTCAATCATCAGTTTATCAGTTATTGACAACAATATAAATCACCAGAGTAGCCATTTTCATCCATTAACTACTTAGCAGAGGGCAATGAACAACAAACTCCTCCAGTTCATTTATTTCATCAATTCTAGTCCCAAGTTCTTTCACATTCAATAGCAAGTTCAGCTGAACCCCACAAACCGAAGAAACAGGGCAGGATGGAATTCAATACACATCTCCCTATTAAACACATCATAGAGAGCTCCATAAAACCCACATCTAACCGTGGCCCGGCACACCTAACTCTCGGCAATAACAAGGTCAACGAAGAGAAAGCGACAAAACAATAGCCTGAAGACAATTACCGATGGCTTCTGCCACCTTCCTCCGAACACAGAAAATTCCTCCCAGAAAGAAAGTAAATTAAATTACCTGGTTAACCAATTGGTGAGGCTGCAACAAAGGGTCCGTAAGTGACCTAGCTCTCGAGCTAGCGCTTCGGGGCAACGGGTTCTTCTTCGACCCGGCATTACTATTCGGGTACCTGTGCGAAACAGAACGGTCAAACGCCGCCGTCGTTGCCCCGGCACCGTTCTGCTGCCTGAACATCAGAGCTGCCGCCAGAGCCTGCTCCTGAATGAAGGAATCATTACTGTCTTTTCTAGCGGATCGGACCCTCGTCCACCGGTTGGAAGCGGTTTGGGATGAGGAATTGGCCGGGAGACGCTTAACCGATCGTCCCCTTTTCACCGCCGGCTTGGGGGCGAAGCAAGTGCACAAGTTCCCCATTTCTCACGGCGACATAAAGTTGAAGAATTTGGCAGTTGGTGAAGGTTTTGGGGCGGCGGTGGCTGGTGGGAGTTTCCTGAGAAATGTGGAACTTTCTTTCTATAACTATATAAAATGGTCTGTGAGAGTATCGTGTGAAATTGGCGAGGAAGGGAAGGAAAGAAGACGTTGCTATGCTGCTGGAAAGCTACCTTTTTTAGAGAGGAAAAAAGAAACGGTTTCATTTCAGGCGAATATATTTGACTCGGTGACTCGCTTTGGATGATGGCTTGAAGGAGAAGGTCCCAAGGGAATCAAACGATTAATTAATTATAGGATTTAATGTTGGTCTATTTATTTGATTATTGGAAGCATTTTCCAACACAAATGGATGCCTAGTATTTAATTTTAGGGTTATATGTATAATAATATAATATGTCCTTCTATTATGGTGTTTTATCAAACATGCTCTTTTACTATTTTTTACATCAAACATGTCCATGTACTTTGAAAAAATGATCAAACATGCCCTTTTGTTTAAATTTTCATCCAAAAACAGTTAACCAAGGTCGAACTTTGGTTTGGGCGGCACAAATGTCTAAAAATCCCTAATAATTTCACTTTAGCTTTTTTTTTTGTTCTTTTGTATAGCCAAATAATTCAAATAATTTCAATTTGAAGAGACCCAGAGAAATAAAACGGGAGACAAAACTAACATTTTCGCTCCCATTTGCCGATGTCGGGTCGTCTAAATCTCGGTTCAACCATGATTGACGATTTTTTCAATGGAAATTTTAACAGAAGGGCATGTTTGATAATTTTTAAAATTACAGGGGCATGTTTGATGTAAAAAATAGTAGAGGGGCATGTTTGATAAAACGTTATAGTAGAGGGGCATATTATACCTATAACCCTTAATTTTAAAGTTAATCTTAAAGGTTGAATCATTGTGAAAGCTAAATTTTTGAGAATTTTGCTTGGTCTAGTTGGTTCGTGAGGATTACAAAAACATTTATATAATTCTGAATATAAACTCGACGATGAGATACTCCAGTTGGTTCAACATATCAATTGATATGATAAATTTACAACATACTATCTAATCCACAAATTACGAGTCGACTCTAAGTCATTATATTCTTAATTCTACATATTTTTATCACGATTCATTAACTAATGCACAATGATATAAGGACCCAAGATTCCGATTGATTAAAAATACATGAATGGGTCGTTTGGATGCAACATTTTGATGAGATATTTCGGACAAAATAACTCATTTGGCAAAAATAGAACGAAATGTGGTATTTTGTACGTGGTAAAATACCTCAGGGTACCACTAAAGTATAATAATTGGGGGGAGCTATATTACTTAAGTAAGAATAGGGCATCGGGTACCCTGATAGATAATAAAATCGTACCCTAATTTTACGAATTCTCGACAGACACATAAAGCGTGGACGAGAATAGACACCAAGTAGCTAAAGAGCCGACGTTAATTTTTTTTTTAAATCCATGATTCTTCTGCCTGCACATGCTTCAAGTCTCCAACTTGGGCCTGGCGGGAAACTTCCTTTTCAGATTAATCTTCTTCAGCATGCTTGATTTGATCCTCTTTTTAATTCGCAGATCAAGAAACATGTATATGTGTCGGTTTGATGTACATTCTGATCTACATATCTGTGGTCCACTTGACTCCAGGCGTTTTGATGTACTGCAAACCACAATTGATGATCAGTATTTATTTGTTGTTTGTTGCTGCTAATTTCCATCAAACGAAGTGGGCAGTCACTGGTGGTGGCTGGTCTAATAAAGCCTGGCCGGCCATCATTTACTTGATGCACTCGAGTAGTTAGCAGGAAGATAGCTAAAAAAAAAAGAATGGAATTCATTGTTTAATTATTGTTTTCTCAAGTGAAAGTGAAAGTGAAAGTCCACTAGATTGCACAAACCCATCATACATTTTAATTTTAATTCATGAATGACATTAAAAATTCAATTGGGTATTTCTCAAACAAAGATTGACACTCCTAGGGTGTTCAAATGGTTACCATGGTTATAACCAAACCAAATAACGCTAAATTCCATTAATCATGGAATACAATATCATAACCAAACCGTCCAAACTAATACAACAACCAAATTAACCAAACTAAAGTTTAATCGGTTTGGTTAATTGGTTAACCAGATTAACCAATATAAAAATCACATTATCATTGACGATGAAAATTTTCCGGTTAATGCAACAATTCACAATTTATATAATGAATAAAACATAACAATCAACACGTAGTTATAGTTGACCCTTAACAAAAATACATGCAACTAAGACAATTATCTTACGATTAGTATAGAAGTATTCACCTAACAAAAATTTATGACAATGGTATGGGTTAATGAGTTGTTGTGTTTGTGTACATTGACTTAATCTCTTAGCAATTATCATAGGCTGGAAATGATCTTCCTTTCAAGTTTTCATCCATCATAACATATGAAATTTATCTAAATTAGGCGTTCATATGTTGTGGTCTACACTTTACATATACAAATATACACTATATGAGCAATATTGAGCTTTATATTTTATGAGTCTAAAAGGGATGAATGTTAAGTCTTGAGTGGTTATGCAAAGTATTAAATATGTGTATATAATATATGTTAGATATATGACTAATTACTTAACTGGTTAATTTGGTTTGACTGGTTAGGAGTGTCTGAAACCAAACCAAACCACCTAAACCAAACAAACTAAAAATTTTAACCAAACCAAACCAATTATCCAAATTAACCAAACCAAATTATCCAATAGTACTGGTTAAAACGGTTACCACGGTAACCAAACCATTTGAACACCCCTAGACACTCCTCAGTAGTTACCACATGAAAAACAATTTATCGGTTCATGTAAAAAAGAATTTCGAACATAAATCTTACGAGAATGTGGCTGCATACAAATTACAAATGATACTGTGAAATAGATAGATCAATGCCGTTTCATTATGATCAAAGGTGGTTTTGTGCCATTATATACTTCAAGCTTTGTCTTTTATAACTTTTGACTTCATCTGGAGTTGATTATTACACCGGCAAATAACCCAATTGAGAGCATTGAATTTAGTATATAAGCAGTTTGCGAAGTATATATGAGGCTTCAGATTCAAAGTATATATTCACATCACACCATTAATTTGACAACCCAGTGGGACCAAATCTCAGTAGCTGCCGCTGAATCCTTTGGCGGAACCACCATTCGATTGTGGGTTTCAGCGTCGGCGCCGATGTCAGAATTTCTCAGTTTACTTACTATTCCGCAACGGTGCCGTCGCCGGCGCGGATGTGGCTCCTTCCGACAGTGGTGCGGGAAATTATGTATGTTGCCTTTCACATAAACAAGCGACGGCTTTATGTACTTACTATATATTGGTTTATTTATTCTTGGATGGAACCACATCGGCCAACCTGCGTATATTTGCCGTCTTAAAAATAGCGACCAGCGTTGGGAATTCATTGCTGGGCTCGGTAACGTGGGCTTGTAATCCTAGTGGAGGCAATAAAGTGATGCTGGACATTGGGTTAACTCGAACAAATGCTCCGAGCTCTGGAATTAGGATGCTCCTCCGCCGGCCCGACCTAGCCGGACAACCGGTTGGAAGGCCCTTTGAGTTCGATGACAAGGGTTAGGCAAAGTTGCACCTTCACTTTTGAACTTCTTAAATCAATATGTCTTTTGTTCTTTTTTTCAATCGGAATTTTTCTTTACCGTCAATAAGTAATCAGTCAATATGGGAATGGTCGCAACTCACAAATGAGTCATAATCGTTTTAGTAGTTCGAGTGATTTCCCAGATTAATTGGTTGCCTCGCTTAAAAATTTCAACTTGTTTCTGGCGGTTATGTAAGTTAACCGAGTTGAATTTTGCGTTCGGTTGTAAAATTCACCTTTCCTAATGACCAGTCTGGTTCAGCCTTTAATAATAGTGTTTATAATACACATAACCTTGCTCAACGACATGTTTCTGGCGGTTATGTAAGTTAACCGAGTTGAATTTTGCGTTCTGTTGTAAAATTCACCTTTCCTAATGACCAGCCTGGTTCAGCCTTTAATGATAGTGTTTATAATACACATAACCTTGCTCAACGACATGCATCATTTTTATATACTGGTGAAATGAGTGGGAGTGATCGAACAAAATGTCCATTACTAGTAAGTTAATAATTCGAGGTATGATATTAACACGTTCACAAGTAAAATGATGTCTTTATGATATTTAACACTCAGACAAAATCTTTTATCAGATGAGTCCAACTTTACTAACATACGTATCATAACAATAACATTGCTTTTAACTTTTCTACAAACTTAGCTAGTAACTACAGCAATGGATGAAATCAGCTTAGGAAGTGCGTGATCCTCGATCTACCCATATCAATCATCCACTCATTTTAATTTGAATTATTTGTCGCTGGATCGATATCATGCCTCTAATTCTATTAGTTGCTCAGAAATCTGATCAATCCAAATCCTTAGACCATCAGTTCCAGCCCAAAACCCGCACCATCTTCCCAGCCCACAAGATGTCCCAACAACCACACCCAAACCCAATCCCATCGTTCCTCACCTGTCCTAGTCTCCTTCGTCTTCTCCCCTTCTGTTCTTCCTTTAAACAGAAAGACCTCGCTTTATTCTCTTCGACCTCAACAGTTCAGAAATCTCTTTCATCTCCAATCCTCCCTTCCGTCGCCGTCCGTTTCTTCTGCCTTCTGCTGAATTGAGCTGCCTTCCGATTTCCTTCTTTCCTTGTTCCTTCTGCAGGAGAAAAGGACCTTACCAATTGAGAAGTAACAACCGAGAAAAGAGGGAGGCGGGAGTCAAAGGGAATCCACTGTGGTGCGTCAAGGCGAGGACTTTGATTTACCCTACACGATGGCGGCGACCTCCAAGCTACTAGCTCTATGGAATCACCCTGCTGGACCCAAAACAAGTAAGTTTCGCCCTGCCCTGTTGCCCTCTTGTGTTTTATCATCCCATCCTTTATCCCTGAACTGGATCAGGCAGAATTAGATTTCTAGTTTCTTATCCAAGTATGTCAATGGATGAAATCAGCTTAGGAAGTGTGTAATCCAGGTGGGTTCGGCCACTGCTGGGTGGACCTCTTTCTGGGTAGTTGGTTCCCCCATTGGTCCATGGGGGAAAGAGGGGAATTATCCCATCTGTATATGTCAGCATTGCATCAATGGTTAAATTTAAAGGGGCATTCAATTATACTTCTACGGGTTCCTGTTACTTTGCTTTGACTTCGTTGATCAGAGTCTCTGGCCTTTGCAGTAACTTACCTTTGTTTGTGGTTTTGACAGTCCACTTTTGGGCTCCAACCTTCAAATGGGGGATCAGCATTGCAAATATTGCCGACTTTGCTAAACCTCCTGAGAAACTTTCGTATCCTCAGCAGATAGGTATACAACTCTGCTTATCACTGTGCTATACTTCTTCCTCTGATAGGTTTACTATCATTCGTTGGAAACTGATATGAAATGGGTTGACTTTGCTTGCTCTCACTTGTGTTCTGCATATTTGTCCAGCTGTAACATGTACTGGAATCATATGGTCTCGCTACAGCACAGTTATCACTCCGGTGAGTTTATCCATGGCACCTCCAGGAGGACTTAGTGCGAAATACTGCTTCCTAAGTTCTGTTATGTGCGTTCTATTTATTTGTTTGTTTGTTTCAGTACTGTGATTTGTTTATCTTCTTTTATGTATTGCCATTTGCCAGCGGATTATAACTTCGTTTGATTGGGTTGATTTGCATTGAAAATAACCTTAAGCAGCGGAAGTTTTCAGTATGCTTCATTGTTTCCCAGAAAGCAAAGACATGATTCTAAACCAAACAGCATTAACATGATTTTGTTTTGCCACTGTCTTAGTAGTTGGTACTTCCTTCATCATCTCACAATTCTTCTGTATTTTCAGAAAAACTGGAATCTGTTTAGCGTAAATGTGGCAATGGCTGGAACAGGCATATATCAGCTGTCGCGTAAATTACGGTAAGTTTATGGCTCAGCCTGCCTTCTGATGGAAAAGTTGGCTAAAATGCTGCATTCCGTTTTTCATAGCTTAACTTCTGTGGTTATACACTCGGAAGTACTGATCAAGAACTGGCTCCTATCCTTCAATCATTGATCTTGGCCATTTCACATTTTCAGGCATGATTACTTTTCTGAAGCCGAGCCTTCCCTTGCTGAAGAGTAACGATGAAACTTGGCCATATGTGGCTGTGCAGGCTCAGGCCGATGATGTCCTGTTATTGGCTGTGCACCAAAGATATCGAACTCTGTAATTTATTTTTCCAGTTTAAGAGTGGGTTGCAAAGTTTAATAAGTTCTTTTTTGGGGTTTTGAGAACATCAATCTTCATCTGTTACAATTTTCACTTAACAAATCTGTGCCTCTGGTATTTGACAAAAAAAAAAAAAAAAAATCTGTGCCTCTGGTGGAAATGAACCATTATGGATTTATGGTGATGTTGAAATGGGTCGTGTTCATATATATCCTCATCAACTGATGGGGTTTCCTCCTTCCTACTTCGTAGGCAAGTAACCATCAGTATTTTTGGTATTGCAATTTGCAAAGAAAATAGAAGAGAGAGAAGGGCTAATAATATTGAACATGGCAGATCCAAACAATAAGATCATTTAAGCTAAAACTAGTTGTCTTGTGCTTCAAAGCAAGGCTGCTTTCCATGAGAAACGTACCAAGGACACCAGCATCGAAGTAATGGTTACCGAACAGAACGCAGTACAGATGAAACAGCATGCAGAGACCCCGTGATCACTATGACACTGGACCTCTTCTTCCCTGCACTTGTTCTTTGTCTGAGAATCGCCCCTGCAGCTTGCACAGCAACTGCCATTGATTTCTCTGCGGCCAAATGAGTTGAGCTTTCTATTGATTCTCTCATGGCGGAGCTGCACATTTGGTGGTGCTCTTCAGGCACTATTTCCTGGACTGATTTTATGCCTACTTCCTCGCAAGCTTGAAGCCATTGGTCTCTCAGCCACTCAGCTGATGTTGTACGAGATTTTCCTCCAGCGATCTCTGCTTCTGTTAAGAACACAGCAGCCAATCTTCTCGCTGGGAGAGAGGAAAGTGCAACAGGAGAGCAAACCCTCAGTTATAGAACGCTTGAAGCTGAAGGAGAATAATTAATAGATGGACAATGTGACTTCTCTTTGGTTACAATGTACCCGAGAGAATTTCTTTGGCAAATGCTACATGGTTTTTGTCTCTGGCCATTGCAACAACGAAGGCGAGTTCAGCATCAGGAAATGCCATCTGTATTGTCTCCATCAAAGACTTGGCTGATTCCTTGGTGTGAGCTGGCATAAAAAAGCATTTGCAGAGTTATTGATTATGCTGCTTGAATCATTGATGTATCGACAGGAGCATATGCACAAACATCAGAATGGGCTTTCAAGCTTTCAACCACAATGCTGCAGTTTCAGGCTTGAAAGAGAAGCTTTATGTCGAATATAACAAACAGCAGAAAGGACTAACCTCCATCAACAAGTATGGTTGCCCCGTGTAGCCCTAATGCACCAGCTTCCTTGGATGATAGAAACTGACTTCTTCCAAGTAAGCGTGTACTCTCCAGACCAGACATAATTGATTTATCTGAAACCTGCCACCCTAAAATGTACATCAAAGACATCAATAAGTGGAGGAAATTAACAGAATCTACAGTAACCGGCATTCATAAGCAGAGTTAATTTTGCCACAACTTGAATAACAGAAATTCTAGTCATAATCGTGAAGTTAATCCCTCAAATCATCTGAAAGTAACAACCTTGATTACGGAGGCACAGTATGGTACATGCAGCAGTCACGGCATTTTGCAGCTGGTGCTTTCCGAGCATTTGCAAGTTGATACCTGATAACTCTAGAGACTGCATGGATCAAAAAGTAAAAAGATTACCAAGATAACTAACCAAAACAGTGATAGTCTATCTTTGATGGTGCCAATTATTCACTTAAAGAAACAACAGCAGAAGAGCATACTAGCAGAATATCTCCCTGAGCTTGTATCAAGAGATCGTTGACTTGGCAGGGTCTACAGTCAAACATGCTGAGACCTTTAATGCTTGACCTGGTTCCAGCATCAGATGCTGATACCACTGGTGAGTACATCAGTGATGTTCTATCACGAAGAATCTGCTCTATATGTGGTAGAAATGGGCCACCAAGCACCGTCTGAGAAAATCAAACACTCAGAAAGAGAGGACAACAATTGAAAATCCTCATGCATAAAGTCCACTTGAGGATCATTTTAACACAAGGAGTGGGGAATTCACCTAACTGGGACACCGTGTTTAATGATTCCTGCCTTAGCCATTGCAATGCTCTCCAGAGAACCTCCCAGTGCATCCAAATGCTCCTCACCAATTGTTGTAATGACTGATGCTGCAAGCTCAGAGCTTGAAAGGATGTTTGTTGCATCTCGAGCACCTCCTAAACCAGCCTGTGACATTTCAAAACCAAAATTAAACTTCTTGTGCCACTGCCACCATCGTCTAACCATTGCCACACAACAAAATGTGAAAATTGAACAAACCTCAATCACAGCAATATCTGATTTCTCCTCAGCAAACAACGCAAATGCAGTGGCTGTGAGAATCTGACGATCAATTAATCACCCGAATGAGTCAGAAATCCGAGCAGGAAGACAGAACAACAAATAATTTAGCGAAACTCCACAACCTCAAAATGAGTCAGCAGTCCATTTTCTAGCTGAACAGCTTCATCAAGCTGCCCTTTTATCTTATGGAAGAGGCAATTCAAAGATTTTGATGCCACTGGATCACCAGATTTCCCAACTGTCATCCTTTCCCTTATACTCATAATGTGCGGACTGCGAATCGTTAACCAACATCACCAATCAGAAAAAAGGCAATTCAGAATCGACACGTGACGAAGAATACATCAGATGTTGAGCTGAAATTGAACCTTACCTAGTATAACAACCAACGGAATAGCCTTGTGCTCGTAGAATGTTGGAAACAAAAGCTGCTGTGGATCCCTTCCCTTTAGTTCCAGCAATGTGAACGACCTATTATTTAAATACACTCATCAAATTCCATTTTTATGTTTTCTGCATTTCTAGAGGTAGCTAGAGAACCAGAAAAAAGTTCAAACCTTGAACTTAGATTGAGGATCACCAAGGCGGGTCATGAGCCGGCGCATTCTTCCCAGGTCGAGCCCATCATCGGAATCGGTACCGGCGTCCTTGGGAACCCCCGATTTCTCGTAATTTGTGAGTGAATCAAGATAGTCGCTGAAGTCCTTGAGCTCCTCCGGCTCTTCTCTGCAAGTGGAAAAGAACTGCTTCCACCCCAAAAACATCTCCAAGCTCGGATTCGATCCGCCATTGGAGCAACGTGGAGCTCGTCTCCTGCTCGTTTGGGCCAGGAACTGGGCAGCAAAAGGGTTCGGAAATCTCATTTTCTGAATTCCCGTTTGTTCCTCAAGAAACCTCTGAGGTTTTGGGCATTATATATTTATATTCCACTGAAACGGCGCCGTCTCCCTTGTTGACTCTTTTTATTGGGGTTACCTGGTTACAGAATACAGAGGCATGCCCGCATTGCGGCATTGGGCAGTTAAAAAGGACAAATCAGAGGATTCTTATTACAGTGTCGGATTCATTCTATTCTACTTTCGGAATCGCGGGTGCGTGCGTCGTTACAGTTCCTGAAATTGTTTGCCTTTCCAGATTTGGGGAAGTGAAGGGAATCACAAAGGTCAGGGCTTGTAAACCTCAAGCGCAAGCGACACACACTCATGTCCCAAATTCTAACCAATCAAGGAAAAGGAACACAAAGAGAGCAAACAGCCGCCGCACGGAAAGCCGTCGTCACCCCTATTCCCCACCAGCAAAGCAATATTAATTCCTTCCTCTTTAAGGAAGGCAGGTGCGATCCCAATTTAAACCCAATAACATCCTTCCAACTTCCCATTTCGAGTTCGTGCTTTCTGCGTGGGGTTGCTCTGTCCTCGGCCTTTCTTCGACGCTGGAGGTAAAAAGCCCTTATCTTTGCTTTAGAATTGTATCGACTTGTGTACTTGAACTAGTTAACTTCTCTATGCCATTGATATATGGATTCGGTTTCTTTCTCCAATTGAGTAATCCGCTTTCAGCGCGTTATTTTGGATTAAAGCAAATCCAGCTTCGCCTCTGCTATTGCCTCGTAGATCCAGTCTGCAATATGAAATTTGGAAGTCTTGCTGATATGATTTTCGATGTAAAGTTTCAACCTTTATGGTCTGCCTGATAAATGGTTGACCAGGAAGCTGATTTTCTTGCCACCATCGTTGTTTCGTTCTTATTTTTTCCTTGAGATCCTTGCCTTGTGCCTTGAACGTCGAATTCCCTGTTAGCCCAAGCCAAGCCAATCCTAGGAATGGGGTTTTGGACTTGGTCATGAACAGAACTAGAGTGGCTGTTTAACTTTGATTTGAATTCACTTGGTGGGTTGATTCCAATGGAAACCTTAAAGGTCTGTTTATGTACTGCCTTCCAATAACAGTGTGATTGATTGCAATTCGTTTGTTGTTTTTCCTTGATGTGCAGAAAGTATATTAGAGTTTGGCAGCCTGGTTACATAATCAGCTAAGACGGGCAGAGTTTATGTTTGAGAACTGAAATAATTGCTGTTGATTCTTTAAACAGTAGATATGGAAACAGTTAACGATGAGTTAGAAATAAGTCATGTTGTGGTAGAAAGGAAGGAAACACCAACGAATCCGGAAAATGTTGATAGTACTAGTGCTACTGAAAAGGTCGAAGCAGGTAGCCTGCCTATTTGTGATATAAATAAAAGTATCTTGGCTGTAAGTTTCTCTGATGACAATGAAGACAGTGGAACAGCAGTCACTGCAACTACGAGCAGTGTCGATGGTTTTGAAGAAACCATCATGTTTCCATTTTATGTAAGGTTTCCTTCACAATGTTCTAGGAGGAAGAAGCTGCTTATTCTTGATTTGAATGGGCTTCTTGTCGATGTAGTAACTTGTCCTCCAAAGGATCGTACTCCAGACAAACGAGTTGGAATTCGATCATGTGAGTATCAGTCAAGTCCTAGATTGTATTTGTGTGTTGTTGAAGAATACAAATGCTGCTGTAGTTTCAGCTTCATCTAATTGCAATGCTTTCTTTTTCTTGTATCAGTTTTTGTAAGGCCAGGTTATCTGGATTTTCTCAATTTCTGCTATCAAAGATTTGAAGTAGCTGTCTGGTCATCAAGAACAAGGTATGTCCAACGCATATTCAGCACCTTAGTACTTATTTCCCTGTTAATGTTCACTGTTTGGAAAGTAATTTTTTTTAATCAATTTAACACTCTGCAGAAAGAACATCAATATCCTGATTGATTACTTGTTTGGAGATATGAAGAGCAGTTTGTTATTTTGTTGGGTGAGTGTTGTCGAAGATACCATTCTCACGTTTGTGTTCAGGGTTACCTCGTACACCAAATCTAACTTGCCTTGTTTTAGTGTTGACCTGAAATTGGCGTTGAATAGCGTTAAGCAATGTAGTCAAAATCGCTCTTTAAAACTTAAAAACTTACGAGTTTACGTTTCTAAGTCACTAAAACGCTTCTACACAAAATTTCAGTTTTTATAACTTATGTTGTTAAAAACTCCGCTTTAAAATTTAAAAACTTTCGATTTTACGCTTCTAAATCACCAAAACGTTTCTATGTAGAAACTCGCTTTTGACTACATTGGCGTTAAGTACTTAACCATTTACTTCCCATTTAACTGATGTTATGGTGTTCTTCTCTCAGGATCTGTCCCATTGCACAACAACACAGTTCAAGACATTAGAGAACAAGCACAAACCTCTGGTGTTCAAAGAACTGACAAAGGTTTGGAATAAAGAGGACCCTCAACTTCCATGGGAGAAAGGGTACTTCAATGAATCAAACACGCTGTTAGTGGATGACTCTCCTTACAAAGCATTACTTAACCCTGTAAGTTGAATAGAATTCTTCATGTTTACTGCCAAGTGCCAACTACTTATTATGAATTGATAATCGATGCCTCTATATTCCTTGATACTTATTTCCTTTGTGGCGCTTTATAAAATGACAACACAGATTAACTCTGGCATCCATCCTCATCCCTACAGTTATGAGGATCTCAACGATAACTCACTAGGTAAGTTGCAGATCAACTTTGTACTGTAATGTTGATTAGCTTGCTGTTAAGTTGTAACCGAATCGAAATGAATGGCAGGTGCTGATGGTGACTTGAGAGTATATCTTGAACAGTTATCTGAAGCGGTGAATGTACAGAAGTTCGTTGAGACGAACCCATTTGGTCAAAAGGCTATTGCTGAAGGGAATGCAGAATGGAGCTTTTACCATGAAGTTGTAAGCACATTGTATCCTTCTCGAGTTGAAGACGGGAAATACGTCTCTTCGGTGTTAACTTGATGGAAGAAAGCCCTGTAGGTCGGGTAGGAAAGTAGCCAAGCATTTTCCTCCAGTCATTTGAATATAGACAAACCCGTGATTGAATATAGTTGAATGACAACTACAAGGCAGAGACCTGCAATTTCTTCTCAAGAGTTATTTGGGGAGGGAGTTTGTTGTTTTAGTTAGTTTCAGGCTTCAGTTTACTTTGCTTTTGGAGAAAACAAAAAAGACTAGGCTAGAAGTTGCACATAGGTCTTTTAGTGGGGGAATTCCACATATCGAGGGTTCCATGATGAGCAACAACAACATGGTTTGTTGAATGTGTCTCTACTAGCTATTGGGTTTAGCTATTTCCCATCAGATGATAAATGATAAATCTGTTTGTATTTTAGGGTATCATCGAGGGTTCCATGATGAGCAACAACAATGACTTAACTCTTATTTTCACGAATAATCACGTAAAGTGGTCAATGATTGATCACTAGGACGAAGTTCACTCGCAGAGAATTAAACTTTTGCCCTAATGATTAAAGGATGAGACATTAAACCACATAAACGGAAAATGATTGGTCATAAGCGAAGTTGTCAGATTGGTTCAAATTGTTATGCTAACGAAGTATTTTTTTACAATTGAATGGTATGACTAGTGGTACAATTGACTATGCCGATTTTATTAGAATAAATAGAAAAAGTAGAAAATAATTAACACCAAATGAATTAATTAGAAAAATCGACTATGACGGTTTTAATAGAATAAATAGATAAGGTAGAAAATAATTAACACCAAATGAATTAGTTAGAAAAATGCAATTAAGAGAGTTAATTCACATAAAGTCATTTATATTCGGGAATTAGTAACTCAAATAAACAAATAGAAACATAAATAATATGTATAAAATGAATTTTATTAATGTTTACAATGACCATTTATGTAAAATCTAGTTTAAATCGTTCAATATTTAAGGTTAATATGTATCACAAAATTCTCTGTAGCAGCCTATAGGTGTACAATAGAAAGGAGTGAACATGATGAACTTGGGCTGAGCTATCTAGCTATCTAGTCAGATACAATCAACCAATTTTCTAGCTATCTAGTCAGATCAACCAATTTTCTCGATTTTGACAGAAGATGTAAATCGATCTCTTTTTCGTCTCGTTTGGTGACCCATACCGATAGTACTCGACAACTGTATTTGACAATCATGGTCACAAGATGAGCTCCATTTGTATTGATGAGAATCAAATTCTCTCTTATAATGATTAAAGAACGATACAATCAACAATCAAAACCACATCCTTAGTTGAAATCCCTAGATTTATGAGGACTTCCAAAACAAATTGGGCCGCAATGGAGAAATGTACATGTTTGGACCTAGCAATGACAAATACGTATTACTCTCTTAGCTAAATGGAGATCACCATGGGACTAATTTCATGAACCTTATAATTTTATTAGAAACGACCCATACATAGTTCTGACTAGTGACGACACAACATTTTTTAACGTATGTCCATAAATGTATGGCATCCCAAAAACCGCCGGAGTCGGCCAAAACTTCCCCGTTAGTCCCACACCGTGACCATCAGATCACTTATATAGTATTTGGTGGCGAGCACTTCTACTATGCTATATAACATTGGTGTTTTAATGTACAACTCAAAGTTGTATCATAACATTAAATGTACAAGTTTAGGTTGTACCATAAAACAATTTGTATCATTATGTTATGATACAACTTTACAACTTGAAGTTGTACCATCACATAAAAGTACAAGTTCAAGTTGTATCATAAAAGAATTTGTACAAAAAGTATAAGTATAATCTGAAGGTGTATTATAACGCAAATGACCAGTAATGTCACCAAAAGTGACGCCGAAATACCCTCCTTGATTGTCCAAATTCTAATTGATAATCATATGCGTAATAATCTACATACTTTGGGATGTGATGCATATTGTCACATCGTTAAACGCCGGCATTCTGAAGGCCGCCATAACAAGTTGAGATTATGGGAGCTGGGATGTGACGGATTGTTATAAACTGATTTGCTTTCTTATTTTCAATGGTTTGAACATGTACATTCCTCATTTTTAAGCGGGAGTGGAGGTTTGTATTTAATGAGATTAAGTTGAAAACGCTTACAATTTTAGAACTCGAACATTGAACAAACATTACGCGTATTATAAACTAACAACAAACAACGATAAATACTGGAAAAATTCTTACACATTTATGGAATTCATAAAATTGGAAAAGCGAAATGAATTAATATTGACAAGAGGGAAATAAGATGACATGTAATTGCGTGTACATAGTATATGAATTGAACATGGGGATGGTGGCATTGGGATAGAGAGGCACCCAAACTCATTCCTCAACCGTTCCCATCTTTTATTGTGTGTGCATATTTCTCATACACGCCCTAGCTCAGTGTGAGAATTGTATTCACACATCGAGTCGATTAGGATTTTATTTCCACACCTGCGAATTATCATTCCAACCGTGGATGAGATTTATTGAATTACCGTATTTAGAATTATTATTTATTGACATATAAAAAAAAGTATTATTGAACCATCGGTTAGGTAATTGCATTTAATTAGTTATAGTTAATTCCTATATAAAAAAAAAGTTAGGGATTAAGTTGGTAGACTAGACTATGGGCGGGTAGGTTGGGAGACAACGGTTTCAGATCGAGCTTTGGCCTCTGTATTTATTTTTACTTTTACCTTTACAAAGGGTGCATTAATATATAGTTATAATAATGCATTTTTACTGTGTATAGAAAACCTCCAAACTCATCGATAAGAATTAAGAAGTCTCCCGATGTTGTGTCTGTACTGCTTCCCAGATTTAATAGATCACGCTGTCGCAAAATGACATGTGGGGTTGAGCTGCTTCCCAGGTTTAGTCATGCACATGTGTGAAATGTGACCAAATTTGCAATGAGAGACGTAAAGGTGTATACGTTACACCGACCACCTTAGCCGCCTCCCCAAATCCTGAGACCATATACCAACCATACATAAATCCTTACCATAGAATACAGCAGAGACTTCTCCATCATCGGCGTGCATGGAAAATTAATTGAGTTTGGCGCTTCTTATCATTATTGGGATATAAAGCTAAAAGCTCACAGTGCACTTCGTTTTCGACGACGGCGACGACTGACATAAAAAGGCCGGCGGAAAAAAAGAAGAGAAGGAAGAAGTTGGAATACGTTTCCTTTGAAGACAGACCCCCACCACCGACGCCGACTTCCGCCCCGCCTGCCTTAGTAATTTTGCCCTCCAAAGAATTTCGTTATTTTTGTGTAACTATCCCAATGAAAACTATCCCATCTTTTTTTGGGTTTTATTCCCCCACATGCATATCGCTTTGCAGTGACGACTCACATGATATATGTGTGGTCCTCTCCAAAAAAGAGAGCATCGTATCGATACGATGAAAAACTTGTAACGTTTGAATTTATTATTTACAGGCATGTCATTTTTAATGCACGGTTTCTTTGTTCATTAGTGACAAACTCAAATAAGCGCGTAGAATGTTTTTGTTCAAGGAGTGTTTTGGAATTAACTGTGAGTACATTATCAACGACTACGAATTCATTTGCAAATTACTTCTCTCTATTATAATGTGAATAACGCTTTCACCAACCATGCTACGTTTTATTCTTTATCCATATGACAATCCAACTCGATGTGCTATTTCACGCGCATGTAAGTTTGACAAAGCTAAGTTTTCACAAAACACCAAATTTGGACGATGGATGATTTGTTTGACAAAACAGGAATTGGATTTGGCGTTAGTTGGAGTAAACACAAGGGAAAAGGGGCCGGAGGGAGAATGGCGACCAGACCAGACCAGACCACAGCTAGATAGCAACAGGACAATGATTGCCTGAAACATGCGTGAAAGAAAGAACTCTAACAAGGCCGGCCGGGGAAAGTAAAAAATAACAAATTAAAGGGGGCAAAAGGAGAATGTGTACTTCTTTATTTTGATGATAAGATGTGAATGTGGAGTCCCCACTTTCACTAGTAGTCGAAGAAGAAGAAGAAGGTAGATGGATGGAATGGGGGAGAGGGTGGGTTTAAATTGCATGGACACCACTAAATTTTGTGATCATTGACTAATTGGTCATTGGATTTAAGAAGATAAAAAAACAACAACAATAGAGTGACTAGCTACTTTTATCTCGGTTGTTTTAATATTGCTACCTGAACAGTGTGTAAACTCACCATAATCATAGTGACAAGTCCATAGAAGGATCAATTAGGGTGGTTTTATGTAATCTGGGGGTGCATAACGTTGAGTACTAAGTGTTAAAACCAATCGTCTATTTCGGTTTAAGTATGATCTATATTTCCTTTTAATTACTATCTATTTACATGAGTTAATTTGACCATCTAATAAAGGAGGCCCATGCAACTTTTATTTTAGCCATTCCATACTAGGGATGGCAATGATTTCAAGTAGAGATGATTTTCTTTGTATTTAATTCTTCGAACCACAGTTTTGTACTAGTAAACATTCGCTTATAGCTAGGATTAAAGTTGACAGGGATACGATACGACATACCAAATCCTACTTGTATGCGTTCGGTGAAAACCTATGCACACCATTACCTAAAACAGTTCTATTTTACATTGTCAATATGTTTTAACATGAGTTTATGAGAATGTCAATATTTGTTGATTACTCTTTAATTGGATATTGATTCGACGCGGGTGAGAAAATTTCATCGAGTTTTCAGTCTTTATTATCAGATGGTTTGAAATGATCAAAATTCGTGGTCTCGAAATTTCTTGAGAGGTATGAATGATCTCGAGTTTAAAGTATAAGACCATGTAGTATAAAATACAAAATTAACATCAAATTCAGGAGGAATTTTACAATGCTATATAGCATTGGTGCTATAGGTTTTTGCCTTTATGGTACAACTTGAAATTGTACTTTTAATGTTATGGTACAACTTAAACTTGTACCTTATGTGATGGAACAACTTCAAGTTGTAAAGTTGTACCATAACATAATGCTACAAATTCCTTTATGGTACAACCTAAACTTATACATTTAATGTTATGGTACAATTTCGAGTTGTACATTAAAGCACCAATGCTATATAGTATAGTAGAAGTGCTCCAAATTCAGTACTCTCTTTTCACGGTAAACAATTTCTGAGTTTGAGTAAGTAAATCCCCCCTACGATGGATTTAGTTTGCCATCCTCATTGCAACTCCACAAATTTGCCAGAAACTAAAGTTTAACAATCAATTTGTTAGCCACTTCAAAAGTTTTCAGTGACCATTTCTACAATTAGCACGGATGGGAAGACCCTAGTCCACGTGGCACCACGGATGCCATTGCTTTTTTTTTTTGTTCATAAGGAGTGCCGTGGAGGATGGTCGGTTCGATTCCGGCATCTTCCTCTCCCTCTTTTCCTCAAATCAAACTCTGCAGCCATTTTTGCTGAAATTCAACCAAATCTTTCCCCTGCTCACCAACTATTTCCCTCAATTAATCCTTTGTAGCTAGCCATCTCCCATAACCCTCCTCCTCCTTCTTCTTCTTCTTGGATCTTCTTAAAACTCCTTATTTACCCTAGCCAGCAGCCCCCATCTTGCAGCCACAGGAAAACCCCCTAAGGTTTTTCTCCCTCTTCTTCTTCTTCTTCTTCTCATTTCAACTTGCTCGCCTAAAATTCGTTCTTCAATCTTAATCGGTTCGAATTCAGTGTGTTGTGGATGTTGTACTCCGGTTCCTAATTACTAGTTGAGAGAGAAGGCGGCGATGAACGATGATGAGAAGAAGAAGAACAACAACAACATCATCATCAACACTCTTCCGAATCACAGCAACAAGGAAACTAGGTCATCATCAACAAGCAACAACAGTTCTGCTACGACGACGACGACAACAACGACATGGTTGAGGCAGAAAGATCCGCGGATAGTGAGGGTGTGCAAGGCGCTGGGAGGGAAAGACAGGCACAGCAAAGTCTGCACCATCAGAGGGCTGAGGGACAGAAGGGTTCGGCTCTCCGTCCCCACCGCCATCCAATTGTACGACCTCCAAGACAGGCTGGGCCTCACTCAGCCCAGCAAGGCCGTCGACTGGCTCCTCAACGCCGCGAAATCCGAGATCGACGAGCTCCCTCCTCTCCCCATCTCCCCCTCCCAGTTCTGCCTCAACCCCAACAACAACACCAACAACACGATGATCAATTGGGCCGAGATTTCGCAACAACAGCAACAACAGCTGTGGTGGAGTAGCAACGCAGGTGCTGGCACCAGCAGTACTGCTACTCCACCAACCAACAACATCGTCCCGACGGCTGAAATTTTCAGCCGTCGGGGCGATGGTATGGAAGAGAAGGAAGAAAACGACGAAGGTGATCGAGACATTATTAATGAAGTTCATGATCAACAAGGATATTATGATAGTCTCCAGGCTCAGGCTCAGAATCCCAACAAAGTGACAACTATGTTCAATTTGGGAAGTGGGCATCCAGGGTTTGGAGGATTATCCCAAACAAAAGATGATCATCCTCATCACCACCACTATCACCAACACCAACAACTACTTCATCATCTTCATCATAACCAGCACCAAAAGGAGAACATGGAGATGTCGGCGCCGTTGTCCTTATCCAACAACACTTACTACCCTCAACATCATTTAGCAGCTGCTGCGGCGGCGGGGGAGAACGAGGTTGGCCCAGCGGTGAGATACGGTGACCACGGGAGTAGTAACCAGATGCTGATGAGCAGCAGCAGTGGTGGTGCCGCTGCGGCGGCGGCGGCGGCGTACTTCAATATAGATCATCATAGCCGTAGTTCACCGGCGGTCATGCCGTTTCATCAGCTCACCGAGCTTAGTATGATGAGCTCCAGATTTCCCCACTCTCATCATCGGCAACCGTCTTCGTCGGACGATGACCGGCGTGGCGGTGGCCAGGAGTTCCATCCCTCGCCCTAGTGACGACGTACTATATACAATATAACTACCAGCGAGTCGAAGCAATGAATGCTAGCTCTGCAAGTGACGGCGAAAGATGAGGGGAAGGCTAGGCTTTTGGTTATGTGATGAAAGGTACAAATTAGTTAATTCTCAACAGTCACATCATCTGCTAATTGTGTTGCAGCAATTTTTGATCGTCTTAACTTCGTTGGGACAGTGTTTACAGCTTTTTCTTTCCTCAAGAAACGAACTCTTATGTGTTCTTATATGATGTAAGATTAGTTATATCCGTGTGTGTTGGTGTTTTACCCCCCCTAAGTTTGAGATGAATTCCTATTCATTCAACAATATATGATTTTAATCAAATTGCTGGTTTAAACATGTTCCTCTAGTTCATGATTTTGGGTTTATATTATATATAACTACGTATATCTTCTTCTTTATTATTGAAAAATGCTTGTGATAGTTGGCAAAGGCTAGCATAGTAATATAGACATGTCTTCTTAATCACATATTAGATGTCCTTCAATGAATTGGAATTGTTGATTAATTTTTTATTTTATTTCAGAAAATTAATGTAGGGGTTCGTCCATTGATGAATACTAGAGTATATAATGTCATGCCCAATTTTTGGTTAATTCATTATCTAAACAGAGGAACTCCTGAGACGTATAGTAAAATTAGCGTAGGTCAGACATACTTTAACTTGAACTTGAATGACTTGTGTACACTCCAAGTAAGAGTTACTTGGACTCAGGTAGCTAAATAAATTTGATCAATTGTTCCGACAAGACGTATAGTAACCTGAACTTGAGCGATTTGTGTAAACTCCAAGTAAGAGTTACTTGGATTCTGGTAGATAAATTTGATCAATTGTTCCGGCCAGACATACGATAACTTGAACTTGAATGACTTGTGTAAACTCTAAGTAAGAGTTACATAGGACTCAATTTTTGGTTAATTCATTTATTGATTTAGTGAAAATGTGATATTTTGTGTGTTTGTAATGGTTGTTATATGGCCGATAGAAATCAACTAGAACATCAAAGGAACAAGCGTGTAATTAAACCTCAGATTCTTGTTTTTTTATTAACCAACTGTCCATATTCATTCGATTAAATAGTCTAGATGGCCATTAGAGTTTAACCCAAGGCACCGATCACCTAGTGAAATTTTTTTTTTTAAAACCAGAGCGCAAGGGGGCGCTCTAACCCTTAATCTATAATAATACGAGGCGTTTGAACGCCAACAGAATCAAACAACAATCAGTACGGCAAATTAGGACCCGGGTTCTCCACAACATGGACCCCAAAGGACAACGAGTGACCAACAGTGGCCATGTGATCAGCAACGTAGTTACTCTCTCGAAAGACATGCTCCAAGGTTACCTCCCAATCTCGCTCGAGGAGCTGCCGGATGGAAGCTGCCATCGTGCGGTGAGGGTGATTATCCCGATTCGTCTGGATAATGGCAATAGCCGTCATCGAATCCGTTTGTAACCGCACTTTCCGTGCCCCCATTTCCCAAGCGAGGATCAGATTATGATAAATCCTAGCAAGCTCCGCATGCGTAATAGACCGATCACCCAAGTTTGCTGACAAAGCTCTCAAGAACCTGTCATTGCTGTCCCGAAGGATTCCTCCCGCCATAGCACTCGCCGAAGACAGCACTACGGACCCGTCTGTGTTTAAAGCTACCCACCCTGGAGGTGGCCTGTCCCAACCGAGCAGCCTCGTGCTTCTTCCATCTCCCACCCCCATAGCTTGATGCGTCTTGGTAAAGGCGCTCTGACATTGTTGCTGCATTTCCACACCTTGTTTTGCCAACACTCAGGTCGGCGCCAGTAGCTTATCGAACACCCATGAGTTTCTATTTTTCCAAAGCTTCCAACAAAGAACCGCGGAGAGGGAGGGATCCACCATTGCGCTCCGACCCGACAGGTAGTGCAGCGCCCACTTGTTTCTATCTTCCTGAAGGAAAGTGCGATTGGGCTCATCCCAAAGAACTTCCGACCAGACTGCACGGGCATACGGGCAATCCCGGATAATCGAACTTATTGCATTTGTAAAAAACAATTACTGGTGAGTCAATTTTTGATTCTTTTTAAATGAAATATAACTTCTGAATTCGTTTCTTCTTCGAAATTTATACAAAAGATATGTTAACTAGTGTCATAATAAAGTATAACAAGATGAAATATTTCACTTTATTACATTAAAAAAAAAATATTCTAGAGGATTTATAATTACAAGCTCGCCCAACTTATTTAATCAAAGGAAAGTAGTTACTAAGGTTAGTTAAGTATCTCCATCATCATAATTCTCACATTATGAGTATGTTTTTTTATCCAAGACAAACCCTCGGTACATAGTTGAAAAAACAAGAATATAAAACTGACAATAATAAAGAATGGTAGATAAATGCAACTGGACCCTCAATAAAAGAGGCTATTTTGCTACTAGGTAGGCAACTCAAAGCTCTGAGAAGCATAATGACACAAAATTGATACATGGAGTGAGAAGAGAGAAAAATGAACTTACTTTAAAACGAAGCCGGTTATCGAATAAAAAGACTTCCTTTTTGAAACATCTATAATGTCTAGTTAAAAAATTTCTCAAAAGAAAAAAAAAACATTATAAGTGAGTCATCATCTTAGAGTATGTTGTATTTTTAACATACATCATACTGTATTGTTATAGAGAGCATGTGAAGTAGTGAACACACACATATGAACTATGAAGGGTAGATGAAAAGGGTTGACAATCATCAATTGGTATAGAGAGCCCTTTTTTTTATGAAACCTCTAACAAATACCAACAAATGCAAACATCAAAATTGCAATTACAAATGGTGGTAGAGATCTTTGCTTAATATCTCACTATTGTTATTGTTGCTGTTGTGAGAAACCCTAGCTAGTACAAGCATCTATTTTCACAACCACTACTGTCGCAACTGATCATCATTTGGGTAACATTTATGAGAGATAAACACTACTAATTAAGACCTTTACATTAACAAAGCAGTGATGGAGATCGATGCACGGAAAAGGAATACACTTGCAGAGAGAGTTGCACCCTCTCCAGCCAGCAAACCGAGGAGTAATGAGAGGAGTAAAATAGTAGCCAGACCAGAGAGTACTTTTTGACTACAGATGCGGCCAAAACATGAGAAACCCTGTCAGCTGCAACGTATAAAAAAAAAAAAAAAAGGCCAACCCTATAGACGCAGTGAATCAAGAGGTGGAAGAAAAGGAAGCTCTCGATCTTTTCTTTTCCTTTCGATACAGGTCTGCCTGTGGAGGACGTTTAGCTGATCCCTGACGATCGATGATGATGAAGGTAGCAGAAGGTAGATAGATGGATAGATTTATACATCCAGCAGCTACTGCTGCTATAAAATCAGCCAAAGGCTGACTGCCAAAACATGCAAAAGAAGACAGATGCGCGTCTCCTTCTTTAATGTTTGTTGTTGTGTAGGCTTTAGCAGCAGCTGTTTGCTTTTTAGTGCTAATTTATTGGGGTGAGTAAGACTTGACTCTAGTAGGACTGTCACCCTTTGCACTGGATCCAATAACACCAAGTCTAGCTGCAACCTCCACTCTCTCTCTCTCTCTCATCTGATGAAAAAAGTAGAGGAAGCATAGAATGGCGGAAAAGATGGTTGGTCGTTGTACGTCCTCATCGATCGACTGAGATATGTTAAAGACGGATGCTATAACTAGAAGGAAATGCATAAATGATTGTGTTGTATTAGGGCAAGGCTTTTAGGATTGAAATACCGTATCAGAGGTTGTATCAGAAATGTCAGCATTAGGGCATTTTATGCTAAAATCGTGGTTTAACCATGGTTTAACCGCTAAATAACGCCTACCGATTTAGCCACTGATAAGTTTTTTTTTTATTGGACCGTCGGTACGATACGGTATTTCAATTCTTGCTTCTAATTAAGGGGCTAGTGCTGAAGACTATATATTACCATATGGGTACTAAGTATATATGTTTTTTTAACCAAGATAAGCCCCCAGAGCATGGCCGGGCAATAATGATAAAGAACAGTAGTCCGTATATGCAACCGGACTCCCAATGAAAGAGCCTGTTATGCCACAAGGAGGGCAACTCTATGAAAACTCTAAGGAGTAAAATGACACGAAACTGACAGTATAGGGGGTGAGAAGAGAGAAAGTGGACTCTTGGTCCAACTTCTCTCTCCGAAAAGTTTTTTTCCCTCTCTCTCTCTCTTTCTTCTCTCTAGCGCCTCCATCTTCAAACGAGAGAGGGGGTTGCTGCTGGTGTCTCTCCGGGGACTGGTGGCAGCCCTCCACCACTCTTTTTTCCTTCGTTTTCCTTCTGCTTTTCTTGTTTTCATCTCTTTTCCTTCACGCTTTTGCACTTTCTAGCCATTTCGAGGCTCTATTTTCGCCCGTTGATGGGTTTCCTTTCCTTCCCCCTCTGGTGGGCTGAGTGTTTTTGTCCTCCAATGTGGTACCCAGATCCCGAGATGGTGTCCCGATCTAAGATGAAATGGAGGCCAAATCTGGTCCGGATCTGCTTGTCTTTTCATTTTCTCTCCCATCTCTACCTCCTTGTCTTTCCTTGTAGATCTTGGTGAGTCGGAGATGTAGCCACTGGCGGACTCGGAGGGGAAAGCTTGAAGACATAAGAACCTTTCCCTCGGGTTCTTTCATTGTCGACCGGTAGCTCGGAGGGGAAAGCTTGGAGAAACCATTTATCTCTCTAGGCTCCTGGAAGTCTCCAAAAACTAGCAATGATCGAAGAATGTTTTTGAAAGCGTAAAGGAGAGTACAAATCGAAAAATTTCGTGGTTCATGTTTCACTTATTGAATTGATATAGATACATACATAATATAATAATATATTACGTATGGCAAGTTGATAGACACTGAGTTATTGTTTATTGTGTTTTGGATTTGATTGTTAAGGATTGTTTATGTGGGTTTGATTTGGAGATAGGTTAAGATTAATAAGTCGGGGTAGTGATAGGTAATTGTGTTTTAGTACTTAAATTATGATGCTACGTAGAAATGGGTAAGCAAGATTAAACCTAAACCTATTGGCCTATTCTCTCTCTCTCTCTCTCTCTCTCTTCCTTGTGCTGTCGAAACCTTCTTCTTCTTCCCCCTTTGGCTGCTGCGCGGTCAGCCCCTCTTTTCCTTTCCTTGTTCTTCGATCAATCCCCCAAATTAACCCCTCTTCTCATTTCTCAAATCACTGGATCAATCCCTAGTTGATCCCAATTCCCTAATCCCTAGATAGAGCCCAAACCATCAAGTTCTATCACAAGTAGACACTTATCATTTTACAAAAATGAAAATTATCAAATGGTACTACAAGTGACTTTTTGGATATAGAAACTATTTATTTACAATTAAATCAAAGCGACGAGATTTTAACATCGTATAAAATAACATGATAAGTTTTTTTTTTGTTGCATAGATAAGATGTACCATTAGTGATGGCAATGGGGAGGGGCGGGTACCTTAATTCCCATGCCCCGCCCCACGCTACTACGGGTCGGGGCGGGTCGACCCACTCTTACATGTTGTTCAAAAAAAATACAAGTAAATTTTACTTTTTACAATAAAACGTAGAGAAAAACACTTTAAGAATGAAAAATATTGATAATAGAATGAATAATTGAGCCTAACAAGTTAAAAGATCGACTCTAACTAGTTGAAGAAAAGTCAAAATAGAAGAAATATGTATAGATATTGTAAGAAATTGAGATAAAATGAGTCTAGAATAGGGCGGGGCGGGTCAGGTCGGGTAATACCCGCGGGGCGGATTGAAATTGCCATCACTATGTACCATTGTGTTAAGTAGTTAATATGTACATGAGTATTACGGGCATCTTAAGAGAGATGTGGAATGGGACGTGGTGCTTCACTCCCAGCGAAGGAAATATGGCTACTCATATTATGGCGCATTAGGATAATAGATGGAATGAATAGATTGTATGGCTGGATAGACCGCATGTTTTCCTTGTTGACCAACTTGTACTGGACAACGTAGGCTCCCATTCTTAAACAAGACAGGATGACCCCCTGACATAAAGTACTGATGGAGACAGGAATGGGAGATCCACTAAGATTCACCTCAGTATTAGCAGGACTAAGCATTAATTATCCGTCGTAGGCAGTCTAGTACGAGACAGGGTAGGTTTAAGGCGCCTGACATGGCATTTAATGCCCTAAACCCTCCTCTAACTGTGTATAAATACCCCATGTGAGCTTGATGATAACTCAACTACTTACTCTTTCTCTCTCTCTCTCTCTCTCTAAACCTAACACATATTCTCATTTCTCACTCTAACTTAAACTACGGAGAGTGTTCTAGATATATAACCGACCATGGATCCTTGTTTTGTACGGTTCAGGAGTGCCTCCCAGTATCAAGAACATGCAACTCACTCGTGCTTCATAAAACCACATAGGGAATAGATTAGCATGGTTACTTATTTTTTAGTAATCATGGTGGCTACTAAAATTTACACCATTCATTATCTCTATTTCACCTTAATTTTAAATTAATGGTTAGATTACATAAAAGATAATTTTGGAAATGAAAAAAAGCCACACCTGATTACTCTCTCTCTCTCTCTCTCTCTCTCTATATATATATATATATATATATATCTACACCCTACTGCAACCCATCCTCCCCCATCCCACTGCTGCCGGCCCTAATTTCCTCACCCCCACCCCGCCGTCGTCCACCCTCCCATCCCTCCCCACCCCGCCGCCGTCACCGTCCCTCTCCCATTCCTCCCTCCCCCCACCCTACCCTTCTCTCTCTCCCCCATCGCCATCCGCCCTCCCATCCCTCCCCACCTTTAAAACCCACAAACAATGCATTAGCGCTCTTAAACCCCTGACCAACAAGTGGCCCCTGACCAACATATTCCATTTGTTGGTCATATTTGCAACACCATCTGGTCACATTTGCAACATGAATATATTCTCCATTTATATCTCTCTCTCTACCCAGCAGCGGGAGGAGCCGATGGACAAACGATCTATGTTCCGACCCTCTCGCCTCAATGGTATTGATTTTGTTGCATTGGTATGTTTTTGTCCCATTGATATTGATTATCATGTAATGATATTGATTTGCATGTATCGGTATTGACTAAATCTGCAATGGTATTTGTTTTTTGTGAAATGGTATAGATTTATATTGGTAGATTGTTTATATTGGTAGTTTTCGTGTAATGGTACATATTTATTTTCTGCAATGGTATTGATGTTTTTCAAAGTGGTAGTGGTTGTCTAATAGATTGGTAGTGATTTCGTGCTTTTTTCTTTTGCAGAAAGATTGAGAAAAATAAGGAAATGAGATCTGGCTAGAAATTATGGAAGTGAGAGAAAGAGAGAAAATGGTAATTAATAAATTTTTGTAACTACTTAAAATGTAATTTATTAAAAAATTAATTAATACAATTTATTTTTCATACCCAATTTATCCTCAGTAACCATGGTGATTACTACACGTTAGGGTTGTCATTTCGATTGTCGGTTAGCGGCTAACCGGCCGGTCTAACCATTAACCGCCGGTTAGCGGCTAACCGGAAACCGAAAATAACAGGGGACAGTCGGTTGGCGGAGTCTGTCTGTGGTTAGGCGGTTAGCCGAGTAATCGACGCTGGTTAACCGGCTAACCGATGCTAACCGACCGACAATACGACCCCGTTTTGGCCTAGCTGAAATGACCCAACCCATCCCCAACCCTAGCATCCTCCCTCAGACCTTCTCATCTCGTTTTGGCCTCCATCCTCCCTCAGACCCTCGTCTCAAAACGCACAGCCGCCAGCCACTCCCACAGCACAGCCGGCGACGACCCAACCTCCCTCCAATCGCCTCGCCGGTCGCCGCCTCCCTCCAATCGCCTCGCCGGTCGTGCCTCCCTCCAATCGCCCCGCCGCCTCGCTCCAATCGCCCCTCCACTCGTCGCGCCTCCCTCCTTCACCCGCCGCGCCGCAACCCTCCTCCAGTCCTCCATCACCGCCAGTCCGCCATCGTCGCGCCGCCCGGGAAACAACATCAGTCAACACCCGCCGCGCCGCAACCCTCCTCTAGTCCTCCATCACCGCCAGTCAACAGTCTGCCATCGCCGCGCCTCCAGTCCTCCATCTCCTTGCTTTGAATACTTGATAACAAGAAGAAATAATGTAAGAACAATAATTTTTTCCCCAGGTTTTCAAAACAGCGGGGGGATTAGCGGTTTTAGTCCATCTCGTTGCCTGGATTGCCAAATTTAGCCACCATTTGTTGAAGATAGGGGGTTTTATGATAAGGGTTCAGTTTTTTTTTCCTTCTGGGTTGGGA